CACGACATGATTGATTCGCAAAACTACCTCTACATCATCCTCGAATTGTACGTTTTGTCGTGTGGCTGAAAGCGCGGTGGAAGATTCTGTGTTTTGCTGTGTCACATTGTTCGCTTGCTGATGCTTCCACACAACTCATGCTCACACTTGTATTCACAACTCATGCTCACACGTGTATCCACACACACACACTAACACACACACACACACACACACACACACACACACACACACACACACACACACACACACACAACACACACACACACACACACACAAACACACACACACACAATATCCTCACATGATGTACACACAATACGCAGCACCCTGAGACGCGGCGGAAGGTGACGGCAAAGCAGGAGGAATACCTGCGCAAACGCTCCCGCACCGACACACAAACGTAAGCCAATCACAGCGACACACACACATACACACACACCTACACACACACACACTCCTCTACACACATATATACACATGTGCGATCCTGTCTGTCCACCCACCCTTGGCTCCAACAGCACTGCAGTGTTTTGCTCACGCTCGGTTGCCTGCAAATTGTGTTCGCGTTCCATCGTGCGCTGCCCAGGTCTGTTCTCAAGCGGCGGGCGGACGTGGTCACGGGCATGTCGCCGAAACGCCCAAACGCAACACCGGCAGATGTACCAACAGCAGGGACAGCAGGGACAGGAGTACCAGTGGCAATGGGCGCTGCAACGAATGGCAGCGTGACGAGCACGGAGAGCAGCGGGAGTAACGGCAAGCCGGCCAACCTGGCAGCAAAGAGCGCACCTGCGCCATCCTCGTGACACCCCGGAGCCTGTTCCCCCTGTGTCGAGCGCGTGCCTGGTTGTTGCGCGTGGCTGTTGCCGCTTGCTTGTTTGGTTGTGTTGCTTGCTTGTGTTGCTTGCTGCGCTGGTGCTGTATGGTGGGTAGCAGACTTGTGAACACACGCGCGTGTGTGTTCGCTGTTCGCTGGTTACATTTGGTGATGAGGTGCTGCGCTCTGTTGTTTGTTTGTATGGTAGAAGGTGTAAACCGCCCAACTTTATTTGAAGCGACAAGGACATTGCGGTGGTAGACTAGCATCAACACAAGAAGGGACTCCGCAAAAGGAGCTGTCAGGGCGTGTGAGTGTAACACGGAGAGCTTCAGTGAATTCAAACATGGGGAACTTAAGGGCACACGAAAACCGTTCGCTGTTATCATCACGACAAGAGAAAGCCAAGGATTCCTCCTCCTTCACAGGCAGTCAAGAGCTAACAGTGCAACAACAATGGCAGTCTCGTGACTTCACGCGCCAGGGACAACCTCGAAGGTCATCTCAACGTTCGCAGGATAGCGAAAGATCGCAAAGCCATCTGCTCCGCTCACACCGTTTCCGTTACAAGAACTTGCTCCTCCGGTTCCTCCGCTTCCAACAACGACTTGGAGAAGTGTCGGTTCGCCAGCACTGATTTCGAAGTCTCCAGATGCATAGCCACCGTTGCCCCCGTCCGTGCTGGGTCGAATGCTGTAGACTCCGGCGTGGCCTCCAACCCCACCGCGGCCTATGAAGCAAATTGGCCCAACTTCGCCGTGTCCGTGGGCTGTGCCAGGGAACACCGTGTTCGCAGCGTACTTTCCTCCACCGCCGCCAGTTGCCAGGAGCCAAGTCGTGGTCGTTCCTCCGTCAACGTGCGTGATGGTTGTTGATGTGCCCGATCTGCCATTGTGTGCGATTGCACATGTGCTTGGGTTTGCACTCGCAGCTCCACCGCCGCCAGCGCCGCCAACTTCGATGAATACAAATGCAGAGGTGGGAAGGGGAAGCATGCTGCTATTTGCTACACTGATAGTGACGCTGTATGTGCCCGATTGTGATATGGCCTTTGTCCGAGGGAAGGTCACAAGTGAAGTGCCCTGTTGCTGTTGTTGTTGATGATGCTGCTCCATCAAAGATGACAATTGCGCCTGAAGCACGTCGTCGTTCGTGAGCAAATCTGCATTTTGGCTTTGAAGGGCCGAAACAGTTGTTTTGAGTCCATGCAATTCCTGCAGCAACTCGGCCAGGGACACTTGGACGTGGGTGTCCTGCATAACCAAACCACCATGCTGATCAGCGAAGATGGACGGTTCTCGCTTGTGCTCGGCAGGGTTTGCAGAGGCGTCATTCGCAAGCGCGTTTGGCAATGTCAATGAAACGCCCGAGGTACTTAAGACCAGCAACAGCACTTGAGCTGCGCGGTCGCGCAAGCTGCACCTATGATGCTCAGGCATTGTGAGCAGCACGACCGCAAGGTCCTGACGCTTGGGCCTGGGGTCGTGCTTGGGTGCTGTGTGGGCTGGGCTGTGCGCCTGCGCGGTGACTGGAACGCAGGAACGCGGTGTCGCGTGCGACAATCTTTCTTTGGTCGTGACAGCGGAAAATTGGGAATGTACAGTGGAAAAAGTTAGACAGCAAAGACCAAAACAGCTGCCCAACACATGGATGCCTTGCTCTGAAGCTGCTGAAGCTCTTGGTGCTCCTCTGCCTCTGCTTCTGCTCTGCTCTGCTGTTTCTCTGCTGTTAGGTTGTTCTTGGTTGCTGGCTTGTTTGCCGCTGTCAGATGAGCGACATGCCCCAAACTCACACGTGTGTGTGTGAGTGTGTTGTGCACCTGTGTGTACATGAATGCCATTGACTGGCTGGAGGACCTTGCTGTTTCTCTGTTTCTCTGTCTTGCAAACTAACGAGAGAACGGGTGTCTTTTGAACGTTGGACGTCCGCCTCAAATACACAAACGCAAAGGCAAGCGTCACTGCGACAGGTCACAGCCCTTTTCACACTGAACATCACACAGCACCAGATGAAAGCAGGACGCGAAGAGCGAAGAACAAGGCTCAAGCGCTGCACCGCTACCTTGCCCTCACACATCTACCCACATGTAACGCCTTTCCCCTCCGAATGTCCGTCCCAAAGCGCACATCGCTGCATCACCTTGTGGAGTTGGTTGACAACATCCGTCCGTTGCCATGTGCTATCGTTCTATCGTTCTATCGTTGATGCTGCATATCTTCACCCTGAGCGAAGGAGCGAGATTGCCATCCAGTGTACTGCCCATGGCTTCATCACTCATACTTGTTGAGTCTCGAAGCAAGAGCAATCAACTACCTTCAGTGACAATTAACAATTCTTTGATGTCAAGAAAGTTAAGAAGATGATGGTGTGTATGTTTGTACATCACGCATGGGTGGGATCGGCTCAAACTCCGCTGATTCTGCACATCTCGGCTGCTGTGGCTGCTAGGGCACCTCACTGGACTGGGATGTCGCAGATTCCAAAGGTTGCCGTGGCAATTCAACGTCAACTTGCGAATGCGTTCAGCAAGCTGCTTCTTCGTCAAAGTGTGGACCCAAAAGCTCAAGGACAGCAGGCAAGGAGAGGCTACTCTAGTACTCTCGAGGAAGCGAGGGGTATAATTTCGCTGGATACATTCTCACATTGCTTGTAGGCAAAGGTGCCAAATGAGGGTGTTTCTGGGAGTTTGTCGAAATTTCGCGGCAAACAACTTTGGGAACCGCCCAACGTCGTCGTCACGCCTCAACACGGATGATGATGGCTGCTGGTGGTGCGACACCCGTGGTCGTGCTGCTTCCACGGCTGCTGCGGCTGCCACGGCTGCTGCTGCTTCTCATCTCGCTGCTACAGGTTGGTTGGTTGGTTGGTTGGTTGGTCGCCGTGCGTGTGTGTGTGCGTGAACGCACGCTTGTCCCTCCTTCACGTGCTCGATGCTGGTTCTCATCGCGCTTGTGCTGCCGTGCTCGCTGCCACACACACACACACACACACACACACACACACACACACACACACACACACACACACACACACACACACACACACACACACACACACACACACACACACACACACACACACACGACAGACGAACCCGTGCAACGCGTTCGGTGTCGGGGCGCCAGAGTCCGCGTGCAGCGATGGCCTGGTCCCTGCCAACCATGGGCAAGCCATCACAGCCCTGCCTGATGCACTGCCAGTCACTTTTGACGTGTATGGGGAGTTCACCTCCTACCGTGTCACGCACTTCTTCCCAAACCACACCTACGACTGTAAGACTGGGTGATGCGTGGTGGTGACGCATGGTGCGGTGGTGCGGTGGTGTGCCCGTTTCACTGTGGTGTTCCTTGCTGCAGTGCCACTCACCCCTACCAATATGTGCGGGTGCGTGTGTTTGCCGCAGTTGTGCTGTCCACTTCGGAGCGCGACGATGCCATCATAGGTGGAGCAACCATGGCGTGGCTGCGTGCGGCAGCAATCAACCTGGTCATGCATCCTGCCTCTGCTTCCACAGCTTGTTGCTGCCGCCTTGTTGAACTCACGTGCACGCCTCCGACTCTTTGCAGGCTACTTGCTTCGCGACATGTCGTCCAACTACACATTCTCCAGCGTCGACGGCAGCGAAAGCTGTGCGTATCACATGTGACTGCATGCGTGTGAGTGTGTGTGTGTGTGTTTGGTTGTGTGTGTCCGGATGGTGCAGAGCCCCTACACCGACGTTGGTTGCTGGTTGCAGAAACTTCATTTCACCCAGACACCCCGCGCACGCACGCATCGTGCTAACACTCGTGGTTCTTGTTTTGGTTCCCCTGTCGCAGACACGGATCACCGCAACACAGGGACCATCTTCGTTGCGGGCAGCGATCAGCTGCGCTGTGGCGGCGCTGCCGTCACCCAGTCAAACCTCAGGGTGAGATGTGTGCGTGTGTGTGTGTGTGTGCGTGTGTGTGCTTGTATGTGTGTGTGTGTGTGTGTGTGTGTGTGTGTGTGTGTGTGTGTGACTGCAGTAGCCCGACTGGTCGACGACGATAGCAACACCCGCCACTCACAGACACATCCCCTCTCCTCCCTATCAGGCAACGAGCGTGCTGGCGTTTCGGTCCACCCGCTTGACGGCACGTGCGCCCTCTAATGGCACCGCCCCCTGGATCATCAACGCCTCCATCATCATGTCACAGCCATCCGTACGTTTGCATGTGCGTGTGATGTGTGTGTGTGTGTATGTGTGTGTGTGTGTGTGGCGTTTTCTCCATTCATTCTCCTCTCGGCCCTGACCAACACCCCTTCTCCAACACCCTCGCCACCACCACCACCCACCAGGACCGCGTGTATCCGTCGCTGGAGCCGCTTGGCAGCGACAATTTCCCGAGCAGCGCTCCCACCGTCCTCTACCTCACATTCACCATCCCACCCATCAACCCCGTCAACAGTCAGTCGCGTGGTTGATGTGTGTGTGTGTGTGCATGTGTGTGCACGCGTGTGTGTATGGGTGTGCAGGCGTGTGAGGCCTGCTGTGTTGTTGATGCAACTCAATCACCCACTCAGTCACTCAGTCACTCAATCAGTCACACTCCCTCCCTTACTCAGTCACTCACACACACACACTCACTCACTCCCTCACTCCCTCACTCCCTCACCCCCTCACTCCCTCACCCCCTCACTCCCTCCACCTCCCCCCCCCTGTTTTCTACACCGCCAGCTGCCACGGTGCCCGCCACGACCGCTTCATATCCGCTCTGTGCACCGCGCACCATCCAGTCTGACACGTGTGCGCGTGTGTCTGTTGACGTTCGCGCACTCGAACGCGCAATCATTCGCCCGTCGACAGAAGAGGCAGGGGTCGTCTTCATCGCAGCAAGGTGTGGACATTCTGTTGTATTGTTACGGGAGCGAAGGAAGGGGACGAAGGGAGGACCAATTGTAGCTCTTTGTTCATACACACACACACACACACACACACACACACACACACACACACACACACACACACACACACACACACACACACAATCACAGGAACGTGGTTGCGCGGGCGACGTCGGGGCTGGCGGTGACGGCTGCAGTGCGGGTGCAGCTCGGATATGCGCAGGTGGTGGAGGAGATTGGCGGCGGGCGTCTGCTCGTGTGCGGCGTGGGCGAGGGGCGCTCCATGTGCCAGCTCTTCAGCACCGCAACACTGCAGGAGGTGAGGGCGGAGACAAGATGGGGTACGGAGATAGAGAGAGAGAGAGTGTGTGTGTGTGTGTGTGTATCTTTGTGGGTGTGTATATATGTGTGTGCCTGTGCGTGCCTGTGCGTGCCTGTGCGTGCCTGTGCGTGCCTGTGCGTGCCTGTGTGTAACTGCGTACGTGTGGACCCACCTGAATGTGTTAACGTGCGTGCTCGCCTTGCGCCCCCTCCTTCCACCCGTTCACAACCCTCCCTCCATCACCACGTATCAGCTGGGCGAGGCGTGGGTTGCGACGGGCGTCGTTGCGCGGCGGGAGAGCATTCGCGCCACGTATCTTCGCATCGACAACAACATTTACGCCGGCCTTCACGTGGTAAGCACGACCGTGCTGAAGCCATCGCTTGCACGCTTTGGGGTTGGCATTGGATTGGCGTTTGTGTGATTGCACGTGTGTTCGCACGTGTGGCTGTATTTGTGTGTGTGTGTGTGTGTGTTTGTTTGTGTTAGTGTGCGTGTTAGTGTGTGTGTGTGTGTGTTTGTGTGTGTGTGTGTTTGTGTGTGTGGTAGTGTGTGCGCATTTGTGTTCGCTCGCGGTTATGTGCCTCTGTGTGTGTTTACGTGTGTGGTCAGCGTCGTTTGCGTTTGACGACTGTTGCCGGACTACTCTTAACAGCACCACACCTTTGCTCCATTCCACACCACCACCACCACCACCACCACGCCAACCACATTTGCCACGCCAGTTCCCGACGTTTGGGGAGAGCAACTCGGCCAACGCCATCACCATGGCCACGCTCGACAACACAGACAACTGGGCATACACATACGGTGCGCCCGTGTATTTGTCTGTGTGTGTGCATGTGTGCGTGCGTGTGTGTACATGTGTAGGCGCGCGTGTGTGTGCATGTATGTGTGCGTGCATGTATGCGTGTGTGCATGTGTGCATGTGCGTGTACATGTGTGTGTGTGTGCACGTTCGGGTGCATGATACCGAGCTGCCATCCATTCACCCATTCATCGTTTCATCCATTCATCGTTTCATCCTGCCATCCTCGTCTCTCACCCCACGTCACATTGCCATCACCACCACACGCCATCAACCCACCCCGCCTTCAGGGGAGGACAACAACGGTGTGCACATGACGACTGCGACGAGTGTTGACACGTGGCTCGCGCAGCCGGCGGAGGACCGGGCTACACCAGGTACAGCACCACCCTATCGTGTATCGCCCTATCACGCACCATCAGACCATCCTCGTGTGCTACGCCACGTTACCCCACTCCTCATGCTCCCCTCCCTGCACCATATCCCTTCCATACATCCATCCTTTGCACCCTCTTCACCCGTCGCAGAGTTTGTTGGCAGCTGGACGCGCAATGCGAGTGATGCGTACGTGTACTTTGCGTACACGGAAACAGACGTCAACAGTGGCGAGAAGCAGTCACTGATTGCGCGCATATGCAAGGACGATCCAGGCACCTCCGTCTTCAACCTCTTCAACTCATTTGTCGCCATCCGTATCAAGTGTGTGCGAATGTGTGTGTGTGTGTGTGCGTGCGTGCGTGTGTTTGTGTGCGAATGTGTGTGTGCGCGCGCGAACGTGTGTGTGTGTGTGTGCGTGCGTGCGTGCGTGTGTGTGTGTGCGCGCGAATGTGTGTGTGTGTGTGCGCGCGAACGTGTGTGTGCGAATGTGCGAATGTGTGTGTGTGTGCGCGCGAACGTGTGTGTTTGTGTGCGAACGTGTGAGTGTGTGTGTGTTTCAGCATCCATTCCTCCCCCTCCCCCGCCTCTTCTTCCCCTCACCGCGATTCCTCTTCTACCACACCACCTCCTCTCCCCCTCTTCTCATGTCCACGTCAGGTGCACGTCAGGCAGCGTGCCAATGGACGTGATGACGGCCGCTGCCGCCACCCCGCCCCTCCCCTCCACCTCAGCAACACATGCACAGCGCTTCTACGCTGCGTTCCGCTCCACAGACGAGGGTGTTGGCGGCGACTTTGGCTTTGGCATCTGCGCATATGAGTATGACGGCCAGTACAGCATCAACTATGAGCTCTCTGGTCGCATCGATCCGCAGCTCAACCCGAGCGGCCCAGACTTTGCATGCAATCGCGATCTCGGCCAGGCCGTCACCCTCGTCAGAGCAAACGACGGTGGGAGCACGTGGCTGTCGTGGTGGTGATGACGTGGTGGTGTGGGTGATGATGATGATGATGGTGATGTGTCGATGTCGTGAGCGGCGAAGCACGTTGGCGACGTACAGTGGTGGCAACGTACGTCCTTCCTTCCTTGTCCTTCCTTCCTTGTCCTTCCTTCCTTCCTTCCTTGTCCTTCCTTGTCCTTCCTTCCTTGTCCTTCCTTCCTTCCTTCCTTGTCCTTCCTTCCTTCCTTCCTTCCTGCTTTGTCCTTCCCAGTCGTCCTTCATGCCACCGCACTGTGCTCATCACCCACGACACTCCACCATCACCGCCTCCACCTGACACGATCACCCCCCCCCCCCCCCGTGTGTAGCGACAAACGCTGATCCGGACCGCCTTGGGTTTCTGCGGGCGTCGAGTCCGCTCTTTGCCCACCAGAGCAACGCCCACATTGTAGACATGCACGTGGATGTCGTGACGCAACCGGACGGAACATCCATCGATGTCATCTGGGCAGTCGATAACACAGGTGTGTGTGCCTGTGTGTGCCTGTGTGTGCCTGTGTGTGTGTGTGTTCCTGTGTGTGTGCCTGTGTGTGTGTGTGTTGTTCTTGCTTGGATTTTTCGACATGGCATGCTTCCTTAACAACCTGTGTTCCACCACCATCACCACCACCACCTTCTTGTCCCCTGCAGGTGTTGTGTTCAAGGTGCCCGTGCAGCCAGACGGCGCGACGCCAACATCAGATCGCGTCGCCGTCCTCAGACCCCCGTCCCCAACACCCGTACGGCAGCGCGTCCCATTGTGTGCTTGCATGTCATGTGTTCTGGTCTGATTGCGTGCGTTATTTGCATTAGTGTATCTACCGTGTATCGTTACACGTGATCAATGCTGATGCCAACACTCGGACCCAACCCAACCCCCGCGCTCACCTCAACATCCATATGCCTCCTCTGCCCTCACGCCACACCACCACTCAGGTGTCGTTTGCGCGCGTGTATGTGCTGCCGAACCAGACCAGCGCTGCCGTTGCGTTTGAGGACCAGGTTGTGTCCCTCAGCATCGCGGACGAATGTGCCGTCCACACCACCTGCACATCGTGCATGCAGGCACGCGATCCATACTGCGGTTGGTGTGCGGCCACGGCATCCTGCGTGCTTGCAAGCACGTGCCCCGACGCGGCCACAAACTGGGCGTACTCCGTCTTCACAGCCAACACGGACGCATGCGACGCACACCCCGTCGTTGCCGATGACGTGACAGCTGTCGCCGCGACATCCACGTCCGTCTCCCTCGCCTGGACCGCAGCCACGGCCTCAAAGGACGGAACGTTTGACCCCCCGAGGTGCGCACTGCTAATTGGCGTGAATGCGTTTGTTATCAGTGTGTGTGTGTGTGTGTGTGTGTGTGTGTGTGTGTGTGTGTGTGTGTGTCAAGGGGGCTGTGGTTGTAAGCATGTGCAATCGTTCGCTGTGCCCCCCCCCCCCAAAAAAAATAAATCATCGTTGCGTGCCCCTGACAGCTAACCCTTGACGTGTTGCTCATTACACCCCCACAACACGTCACCTGGTTGCCTGTTTGCCTGTTATCCTTTGGACGTTTGCAGCTACACGCTGCTGCAATCTCAAGATATGGGCGATGATGACAGCGATGATGACAGCAGTGGCGGCGGCGTTGTGTTTGGGCCAACAACGGCTGCGATGGGCGCTGTGATTGCAGACCTGACCCCGTTCTCCTCATACACGTTCACACTCATCGCCGCCAACAACGCCGGCGAAACGTGAGAGCTGCACTGGGGTTTGACGTTTGGGTTGAGCGTTGCGGTTGGACAAATGGGGTGCGACTAGGATTGCGTTGTGCACGGCCGTGATTGCTTGTGTCCTGGCATTTGCTCGCTTTGAATTGTGCAATTCGACACACAGCATGATATAGCTCATCACAACTTGTCATGCACATCCCATCCCCCAAACACATGGTTGTCACGCACACCAATCACACACACACACACACGTCACAGGCGCACACGTGTGCGTGTGTCCACGCTGCAAGCTGCACCATCCGCTGTTGTCAACGCGACCATCACCGCCACCGCCAGCAATCGCATCTCTCTCGCCTGGTCTGCACCAGCACGCAGCAACGGCGTCATCGGTGCGGCTGCATGCTTGTTGTGTGTGTGTGTGTGTGTGTCCGTGTGTATGTGTGTGCGTGTGTGTGTGTGCGTGTGTGTGTGTCTCTGTGTCTGTGTGTGTGTGTGTGTGTGCGTGCGTGCGTGTATGTGTGCTTACATGTGTGCGTGTGTGTGTGCATCCTTGCTTGCTGCCCACTTTCGTAACTGCCATGGCTGTGCCTGCGCATGTCGTGTGCTCTGTCTTCTTGTTTTATAGCACATTTCAAACCCCCTCTCACTTCATTTCACCATTGCCTTGCCTCGCTTTCAGGCCGATATGTGGTGCTGCGGGATGGGGCGGAGGTGTGCTGTGACACAGGTGTTGCATCAGACAGCTCAGGCACGCTCACCTTCGCAGATACAGGCCTGTCTCCATTCACAAAGTGAGTGAGAGCATGTCATCCTCGTGTGTACGTGATTGTGCTTACATCAAAGCCATGTTTATTGACTCCCGAAACAAACATAATACGTGTTCTTGTTCTTGTTCTCATCCTCACCATCACCGCCACCATGATGTGTCATTTCCACACCACAACCTCCTCCTCGTTCAGTTTCACGTATTCCATTGCGGCTGTGACGGGCGACTTGGCGACAAATGCGCTCACAGGACCTTACACAAACCTAGTGCGTGTGATGTGCTGTGTGCTGTGCTGTGCTGTGTATGTGTGTTGTGCTGTGTATGTGTGCTGTGCTGTGCTGTGCTGTGTACGTGTGCATGTGTGCATGCGTGCTGTTATCACCTGTTGTATGGCTTTACAACAGCGCCTCACCCCGCACGTTCATCCCTGCACACCACATTCAATAGACGGCAGCGACGAGCGAAGCGCTCTCTGGTCCCCCGTCATCGCTCACAGCGACCGCCATCTCAGATACGGAGGTGTGCCGAGATGGACTGGTTTGTGTGTTGATTGCGATATGCAAACTAGTGCGCACAGAAAAGCACACACACACACACACACACACACACACGCACACACACACACACACACACACACACACACACACACACACACACACACGAATCGCACGTTTCCACACTCAATACGTGTACTTACACACAAACGCACTGAACGCACATGTGTCTAGGTTTCTGTGGAATGGATGGCACCCCTACATCCCAATGGGCACATTGTTCGCTATGAAGTGCTTGCAGCGGGCGAGCGCGTTTTGTTCGAGTCTGCCACGCCCCTCAGCACGCATGCCAATGTTTCGTGCTTGCAAGCAAACACGGAGTACAGCCTTGCAGTTCGCGCCATTAACGGTGCTGGTGCAGGCGCGCTCAGGTACACCCAGCAGCCATCTCACGATCACAGTGCACACACACACACACACACACACACACACACACACACACACACACACACACACACACTTCTGCACAATCTGGTCTGTTGCTGTGTTGCTGTGAAGCTACCATGATGCTGCTGAAATTGTGGTGTTGGTTTTGTTTTTGGCATTCCTCCCACCGCGCCCCTCACTCTGCTTGTCCCCTTTGCATGTCAACATGTGACAGCGACGCCACAACTGTGCGGACGCTGGCAGCAAGACCACCTGCACCGAACATGCCCGTGTTCGTACATCCTGTAACGGCCAACAACACGCTGACCGTTGTGAACATGACGTGGGCGCCGCCTGCTGGATATGATCCACTGCTCGTCCTCCAATATGAGGTGAAGATGGAGGGTCGGGCGGTGTGGCTGTTTGCATATGTGTGTGCGTGCTTGTGTGTGTGTGTGTGTGTCCTTTTGTTTTTGCATATGTGTGTATGTGTGTGTGTGTGTGTGTGCGTGGATCTGGCCCTCTTTGCCGCCCATATCTTCAAACACACCCCAACCACACTTCACACAGCTTACAACCATTCACATCCAACACACATGTGCGCCCACACAATGCACGTCGCAGGTTGAGCTTGCAGTGCAGTACGGCAACTGGTCGCTGCTGTATTCGGGACGGCGTCTCCATGCTGCTATCACCGCTCCGTCCCCCTGCACGCGATACTACGCCCGTGTTCGGGTGAGCAAAGGGGGGAGGGGGTACAGCCGCAAGCCACTTGTTGTGTGTGTGTGTTGTATGCTGTACTTGCAACGTGCATACACGTACGCGCCTGCGTACACACAGACACAGACACAGACACAGACACAGACATAGACACACACACACACACACACACAGACACGCACGCACACACGCACACAGACACACATACAGAGCACATCCTCTCACACAACCCGCATCTGCCCTCCTCCCTTCCCTCACAGGCGTTGTCCGAGAGCGGTGCCGGCCCGTTTTCTGGCGTCGCCATGACAACGACGTCCTCTGGTCCTCCTGCTGCCCCCAATCCGCCTGAAGTCGTGTTGCTTGCAGGCAATGACGGCCGCGCACTCGTACACTGGTCGCTGCCGGACACATGCGACCTCGCTGGCGTTATTGTCCAGCAGAGCATTCGTGGAGAAAATGGCGAGCAAGGCCCTTGGACCCACGTGTGCTGTGGTGGCGATGATGGTGATGCGATTGGTGGCATTGGTGGCGGCGGTGGTGGTGCGATAGCAACCTCGTTTGCACCGTTGGTTTCGCCCAACACGACGGCTTTCTTCCGCATCGCATTCATATACGAGCAGCACAGTGGCAGCAGCGTGTTCCGAGGGTGAGGACAGTTTGCCTTGCGTTGCTGTTGTGAGTTTTGTTTGCTTGTTTGCTTGTTTCTTTGGGTGTGTGTTGTGTGACAGTGCGAATGAGTCTTTACGTGCCGTTGAGCCCACCCCATTTCACTCACTCACTCACTCACTCACTCACTTACTCACTCACTCACTCTCTCACACACACCCCCCCCCCCACACACACACACTCTCTCTCCCTCTCTCACACACGTTCTCTCTCTCTCTCTTTCTCTTTACCGCACTTTCAGGCCCCTGAGCAATGCAACGGCTGTGTTTGCTCCGCCAAATGTCACTACCACCATTGAGTGCGAGCCAACAGCTAGTACAACCACAACCAAGACCGTTGCCACCACAGCTGCAAATATCACAACCAGTGCCCCACCCACAACATCAACGCCGACGACGACGACACGCGGTGACGGGTCGTTCTCGGCGCCATCAAAGGTGAGGGATTGGACCGTTTGACCTGTGGCGGTGAATGCCATCGACGTATGACTGAGAAGGAGTTCATCGATTTGCTTGGGTCAACAAACAACCAAGACACACACACACAACACAACACACAACACACACACACACAATTTACTTTTCCCCATCCATCCCCACCCTCACACACACACACACACACAACACACCTCATCCAAACGCGCCTGCACAGATTGCGCGGGTGGCTGCTGTGCCGACGGGCGCGTACAGCGTGATGCTGACGTGGTCGTCGCCGGCGTCCACAGGCTCCTCTCCGCTCGTGCGCTTCGATGTGTTGCGAGGCGACCTGGTCGTCTGCTGCGATGACGCAAGCGACTTTCTCCTGGAGGACGTGGGCCTGTTGCCCAACACCCTTTACACCTACCGCGTGCGTGCATGGAACGCGGCAGGGGCGGGTCCCCTGAGCGACGCCATCACCGTGACGACAGCGCGTGCACCGCCACCAACACCGGCCTATCCGCTGCTCGTTCGCGCGGGTGTTGACGCCTTGACACTGCGGTGGGAGCTTGATGCAGCCACAGCGACACAGCTCGTCAACCAGACCATCCAGGTCAGCTGCGCCACGTCCATTTCAGAAAGACGGGGGCGAAGAGGGGCGGAGGGGGTTGTTTGATTAGATTTGCATATGTTGGGTTGATCCAAGTGCACACGCCGCTCACACACCTCTACACACTGGCACACATCTGCACACATCTGCACACACACACACACACACACACACACACACACACACACACACACACACACACACCTTCACGCATCGACTCTCCTCCGCTTGCCACAGGTGTACGATGGAAGCAGTGTGCTGGTGCAAACGCTGACACCTGCCGTGAGCACGCGCACAACAAACGTGACGCAACTCGCGCCGCTCACCCCGTACCGCGTGGTGCTGACTGTCACCATCATGGGCGGCCTTGACGCAATCAGCGACATCAGCCCGCAGTATTTTACGCAACCAAACGCAACGACACGCCCCCTGGAGGTTGCGCGCGTGCAGTTTAAGCTGCCAGACACGTTTACGCCCGAGCTGGCGGACGCGAAATCCGCTCCGTTTGCGTCGCTGTCTTCACGGGTGTCCACGGCGGTAGAATCGCTGTACAAGGACACAACCACGGGTACACAGACGTTTATTGTCGTGTCGTTTGCACCGGGGAGTGTGGTTGTGACGGGCAACCTCACGACACGCAACGGCCCGCCGCTGGAGGATGTGGTCACGCGGCTCAAACAGAGCGCAGACACGGGTGCCATCGCCTCCCTCGCAACAGTGGTGCGTGTGTACGTGCGTGTGGTGCGTGTGGTGCGTGTGGTGCGTGTATACGTGTGTGTGTGTGTGTGTGTGTGTGTGTGTCAGCAAGTTGCCTCCCATTTCCATTCCATCCCATATCCATTCCACTTCCATTCCATTGAAGCACCGTTTCTGACACCCCCCCCCTTCCCAATGCCACTGCCGATCACAGCCCAGCACCTTTGAGCGGCTGACGGATGCCTCCAGTACGGGTTCGTGTTCGCCGAGCACCAGCGCCGCCGCCGCTGTTCCGCTCCCCGCCGTCATTGGACTCGCTGCTGCCCTTGCTCTTGTCATCGCCATCGCCACGTATCTCTACTGCCGTGGCGGTGGCAGCGGGGTCGCACGCAGGCGGAAATCACGTACGTGCGTCGTGTGTGCATGCGTCGTGTGTGTGTTTGTGTGTGTGTTCATGCGTTTGATTTTTATCTTATGATCCATCCTGCTGAAACCCGTCACGCGCCATCCCATGCTCGCCATGTTCCTCACCCCGTCCAACAACTTCCACATCTCTCTTGGTGCACTTGATACAGACCTGCAAGTGGTTGAGCCGATGACGTTTGCGATGGAGACGATGGAGCGCCGCGTGTCGTCGTCGAATCACCGCCAGCACCACCGCACGCCGTCTGACACCAGCAGGCACAGCTACGGCAATGGCAACAACGGCAGCACCAGCAGCAATGGGGGGAGCATGCGGACCAACCCCACATACGCGGGCAACGTTGGGTCCGTCCCAAGCGGGCACAGCGGCAGCGGGAGCGGTGGTGGCAGCGGACATGCGAGCCGTGATGGGAGCACGCGATCGTCACCGTGGACAACGATCCGTACAAACAGACCGCTGGGTAGCAGCCAAGAGCACCTGCACCAACAGCAACAGCAACAGCAACAACAGCAGCAACAACAACATCCACATCAGTATGTTGCGTTTTCCAACAGCAACGGAGGAACGGCGACGTCCACGTCAACAACGCCAACGACAACGCGAAGTGCTGTTGGCGCGTCCGCTGTCATGTATGCAGACGCACACACGCAGGCGGCGGTCAACCGTGACATCTCGCTCAATTACGGCATTCCCGTCAACCCCTCTGCCCTCATGAACCCGCGCCCAACGCTGCGACGCAACGACCAGCGTCGCCAGCAGGGCAGCACGAACCACCCGCACCACGTACCACCACCAGTGCTGCCACGCAAGCCAAGCCAGACGAGCATTGAGCCGCGGGAGTACATGACGCCGCACCCTGTCGACCCGCTCGCCGACTGGCAGCCGGAGTACAACGACATTGACGATGAGGAGGCAGACGAGTACCTGCGCATCCTTCGCGGCACAGAGGTACGGCGCAGCTGTTCGTGATGGGTCGCAGGGCGGTGAGGGGATTGTGTGTATGTGTGTGTGTGTGCATGTGTGTGTGCATACGTGCATGCATACGTGCATGCGTGCGTGTGTATGTGTCATGGATATGTGTGTTTGTGTGCATGCGTGCGTGCATTTGTGTGTGTGTGTGTGTTTGTGTGTGTTGTCTGCTGCTGTATGCCGGCGACGTTTCTTTCCTTCGCGCTCAATAACAGCCCATGTTGCCATCACACACTCTCTCTATGAACAGGATGGCACTCCGATTGATGATGATGACGGTGATGGAGAGGCGGAGACGAGCGTCAGGAATTCCCTGATGGACAGCGAAGAGGAAGTGGCCCGGAAGCTGTCAGAGGCGCAGGCCGAGCGCGTGCACAACAACAAGGTGATGATGATGGTGATGATGATGATGGTGGATGATGGTGGATGGTGGTGGTGTGTGGTTTTATGGCGGGACATTGCGTTCCATTGCATTGTGTTGAGTGTCATCGTGGTCAAGTGTCTGTATGTGGTGCAAATTGTCCAAAGACATGTGCAGACGCCGCGTTTTGTACTCGCCGGTTGGCTCACGTTGAATGTGCGGACAACGCAAACACATGTGCGTGCAGGTTGGCTCCATCGACTTTTCACAGGCGTCGCCACTGAAGAAGAGATGATGACTGTGACGATGGATGGTGGTGGTAGTGGTGGTGGTGTCATACAAGCATGTGCATACTCTTCCCTTCTTGCCTCGTAGAGATGATTAACTTATTCTGCCCATCCGTGTGATGTGTTGCTCGTTGGATGTTGGATGTTGTTTGATGTTGTTTGGTGTTGATGTTGAGTGTGCCTTTAATTTGAGCGGCTGTTCAGCCGTGTGAAAGGAGTGTGCATCAGACAATATACACGCAAACCCACAAGCACTCACAAGCACAAGCACCGCAAAACGCAAGCGGAAAGAACGGGAACAAAGAAGGCAAGCGAGAAAAGGAAACACGGCAGGGAACAACGAAACGTGGTTCTTGCTTGCAAGAAGCGTGCAGTTGAAGAGAACAAGGCACAAAGACAACAAGGCACAAGCATGGGTGTGCGAACGCGGTGCAGAAAGCACATGACAGCAACAACAAGAACAACGGCAGCAGTAGCAAACAACAACGACAAACAACAGGCGAGCGCAGCAACATAACGGAGGCTCGGGTCAAGAGAGAGAGAGAGGGAGAGAGAGAGAGAGAGAGAGAGAGAGAGAGAGAGAGAGAGAGAGAGAGAGAGAGAGAGAGAGAGAGAGAGAGAGAGAGAGAGAGAGAGAGAGAGAGAGAGAGAGAGAGAGAGAGAGAGAGAGAGAGAGCAAGAAACAGGAGGGCGTGTGCATGGCATGTGCATGTGCATGGCGTATGCACACGTGCACATGTGGTTGTGTGGTGTTATTGGATGAGCGAGTAGTCGTCCTCGTTGCGGCGCCGGCAGAACTTGAGATAGACGAGGGAGAGGAGAGCAAGGCCGAGCAGCGTGCCGACAATGGCGCCTGCGATGGTGCCGGCTTCCCCGC